GAAATGCAGTGGATAGCAAGGAGGAGAAGAAGAAGAAAAAGAAGCAGAAGCGAAAGCACAGTCTGTCCGAGTCCGCGGCTGCCGAAGATGCCCCTACATCGGCCAAAAAATTGAGGTTTGAGAGCTCGGCCGCCGCTGAAGACGATAGTGCGCTGACGACACCAAAGAAGAAGAAGAAGAAGAGGTCGGCAGCGGCGGCAATTGCGTCGGCGCCTGTTGAACTTGACGAGGACTAGGTCCTGGGCGTGGGAAAACCAACACAGCTAACTTCGGGTTCTCTCCCCACCTCCCCCCCCTGATGTACACATGCGCTCCGATTTCTATCTGTATCAGTCTGCATTTTGTAAACAATGCTACGCAGCATCGTCCGGCTCTATGCCTCTTTTGTACCCTCTGTCACGTTTAGGGCTATTCACCATGTAACCTCTCCACGCCAAATCGGCCTAATAACAATCGCTCCTGGCCTTGGGCAGTTTCGTGACTAACCAGGGCTGCTAGTAAATGTCCACAGTGGTCGCTTACGCTGTTATATCTTGCCAGTAGGAGTAATGTTGTTATGTGTGGCCACGTCGAGTAACCTGACAAAGATTTGCCACCGATATATCTTCAAGCCTCATTGCTTGGTCTGTCAGTGAGTAGGTACAGGGAGCGTGAGATAAAACTCGTACAGTTTAAAAACACGATGACTCTGTTAGTATTTGGCTTGGTCCTAGGTCTTCGTAGCTCTGTCGTGTCACCGGGCCTATGTGGGTGCTGAAAGTGCGGTAGATGCGGCGCAAGTCTGCGAACCGCCGTACCTGCGCCCACCCTCCTGTGGGGCACGCGGTGGGCAGGATCGGAATCGACGGTCAATCTGCCATCTGACTGGGTCACGACGATATCATCCACACCTCATTTCTCGTTCGAGGTCGCACGTACAGTGGATGGCCTAACTCATGAAATGTCAACTGAAATTCCGAAATACGTCTTCGTTTCGAGAAGATTATTTAAGTAGGGTTGTAAAACTAATCAGCCTGCAGCATAGTTCTATATTATTTCAGTTACCTCAGAGTGCCGGCTTTCGAATGAACTTCCTTCCGGCTGCATGCAAAAACTATACTCTGTAAAAAATGACTACTTAACTAGCATGCAATTTTCTCGTTGGTTTTCGATGTCCCCAAAAGTCCAATCATATTTTTAATGGAAAACATGCATAAACATATTCGTTGTTTTGCTCATTCGGTAGATAATTACGTCTTCTAATTCTATACTCGAAGGAGGGACATAATTCGGTTTTAAAAAACGTTTCCAATTCCCGAATAATTTTGAATCCGCTCTACCACCACACTTGGATTCGGGGTTTTCAAACTACAAGTCGTATATTTTCCGCCTCCTTAAAACCACAAATTTCTCTACGGTAATAAAGGGGGACCATATAGGATTCATAAAATTTAGCAGTGGATTTGATCCTTATTGTTAACTTTACAAGCCACATTGGTAAATGCAGAGACATGACGATTTGTGAACGGCCATTTCACGGTACATAAAAGTCTCATAATTAGAAACTTTTTAAAACAGAATTATGTCCCCATTTGAGTATAAAATTAGAAGACGTAATTATCTACCGAATGAGCAAAAGATTGAATATTTTTATGCATGTTTTCCATGAAATATAATTGGACTTTTAGGGGCATCGGAAATCAATGAGAAAAATGCATACTAATTAGGTAGTCGTTTTTTACAAAGTGTAGTTGTTGCATGCAGCCGGAAGGAAGTTCATTCAAAAGCGGGCATCCTGAGTTAACTGAAATATTAAAGTATTATTTTGCAGGCTGACTGTTTTTGCAATCCTGCTTAATTAATCTTTTCGAAACGAAGACGCATTTCTAAATTTCGGTTGACATTTAATGGGTTAGCCCACATACTCTGTATCAGCGGATGGCCGATCTCGTGAAATGTTGCCTGGACTTCTGAAATGCGTTTTCGATTAGGCAGGATTTCTTAGGCGCGATTGTCATACTGACTATCTTGCGGCATGATGCTATAATATTTCGGACTCAGCAAGGTGTCAGCTTTGGGATACACTGCTCCCCAAACTCCTGTAGGAACTGTGCTCGTTAAACAATGACTACTTAAGTAGCATGCATTTTCATTTATTTTCGATGGCCATGCAATTGTGAATATATTTTGTAGAAACACCCGACAAAATATGCTTTCTTTCAGTCGTTTGATACAGAATCACGCCAACGTTTTATTTTGTAATCTAAGGGGTGTAATTAGGTTTTAAAAATGTTCTCACATTTCCGTATAATTTGGGGCCTGAGCAGTCGTTGCATTAGCTCTTAGTGTTTTCAGTCTTCAAGGCGCATGCTTTCCGCGTAAAGAAAATCGCATATTATGTTATGTCTCTAAAAATATATCATGTAAAGTCCATAAAATTTTGCAATGGATGCGGACAATGTTGGGCATTTCACGAGGAGCAGTGGTAAACAACATGCACCATGCTATATGAATGGACCTAGTGCGGTCTTCAAAAAATCTCATAATTAGAAACTTTTTGAAAACAATTATACTCTTTCCTCGTGTACAAAGTAAAAATTTGACTAAACTCGCGTCGTCCGTCGGGGCCTCGTAGCTCAATTGGGTAGAGCGCTGGGTGTACTAAAGCCTTCCCCTTCAAACGACTGAAGGGAAGCATATTTTTGTCGAGGTTTCTACAAAACATATTTGAATTTGCAGGACCATCGAAAATAAATGGAAAAATGCACGCTACATTACCAGTCATTTTTTTAACGAGCACGGTTTCTAAAGGAGTTTGAAAAGCCGTGTATTCGAAAGCTGACATCCTGCCGAGTCCGAAATATTATAGAATCATGCCGCAAGATATTCAGTATGACAACCGCGCCTAAGTAATCCTTCCTAGTCGAAAATGCGTTTCAGAATTTCAGCCAACCTTTCATGAGATCGGTCACTCACTGTATCAAGTTCCAGGTTTTGGCCATAACGAGCCCCATTCGAAGCCAACTGCACTTTCGGCCACGGGGTAGGCTGCTTGCACAATTCCAACGCCTCACTCAAATTTTGGATGGCCTGCGACTTTCCGTTAAATGAGAATAAAGAGTGAATCGCTTACTTATATCTCCAAAAATGTACGAGACGATTCCATTGAAGCAGTTGCACATTGACAGTTCGACTGTCGCGCTCGACGATGTCCACCGTGTGCTCCACAAAGCGAAGCAGGCACGGTAACTGGGGCGTAAATGAGCCTATAGGGAGAGTGGAGTTGTGAGGCACCTACCACACTCTCCTCCATCGCCTGGGCCCGGCATCAAGACGGAGTCAAGAAGACCGGAGGTGAGGGAGGGCACAGGTGACTGGCACAGTCGGATCCGCACTTAGGCGTGTCACCGCACCCCCTGGTCCACAACATACATTTGACCAGGGTTTTTCACCAACAACAACGCCAGAGGGAGGAGGATGATTGGACAGCCATGCTCACAACCTGTATACCCAGCGGGAGCGCAAGCGCATCTACTGACAGGAAGCCAGGTGCCAGGACACACCAGGCTGTGGGGACCATAGTTTGCTGATCAGGGCAGCAGATGCTGACATGCCTTGGAGTTGCTCCTTGCATAAGCAATGACTTTTTCGTAGGCAAATGGAAAAGTTCTCGCCGGGGAAACCTGTATCGGTTGAGATTCTGAGGCCGCACCGATCTTACTACTGTAGTCGCACATATATGACAAGAGTTGGGTCAAGTTGTCCTGCGCAGCTGGGCGTACAGGACAGTCCGGTTCTTTTGCACAGCGAGGCCCATCACTGCCTGACACATTGACTCCATTTTAATGGAACGAGCTTGCGCAGCGTCTGCCTCGCACGCTCTCCAAAGGTTTCCCGTGTTCCGATAGAAGGGAGTTTGGGTGGGTGGAAATTGGCGTAGACGCAGCCGGACTACACGTGACACACACCGGCTGATCCGTAACAGCAAACATGCCATTCTCCATTGAGGGATTCCAGACCTCATACAGCCGTAGGTGCCATAGGGACTACATTACGACGGCGCCATTTGAGTCTAACTCTCAGTTCTGCGCGGTGCACATCTGACTTGCAAGTTGACAGCTGTTAATGCCTCGTCTGTTAGCATGTCTGATAGGACGTTCTGTTGCCTATCGTAAGTAAAATAAGTTTTATATGGGAGCTGCGTTGACCTCTTCTACCTGCCTGGGGCCAATGACGGCTCGTCCATTTCGCTGTGCTGCTGATTCCAGTGGGCGATTAGATTGGATAAGACATGTTGCACTCCACTTCTCTCTATCCGGAGATGAAGATATTGTTTATATTTATAGGTTTGAAAGGTATTATTTTAAGGTTAGCAACACTAAGGATGACGTACAGCGTGCAGCAAACAAGCGCAAAATACCAAAACCCGGCTTAGTGATGATTTACAAAGTTAAGGCTCCCATAGTCGGGGTTGAGTACATATATGCTAACTATCCCATTTCAGACCAATTTGCTTGCTTGTCATTTATTTGTTTATGTCCATACCACTAGCTTTAGGAGAGCACGGTTACATGTACATAGTGACTAAAGAAACCGAGATCTGATTTCGGCGTCGAGGTCCCAAAACGGAATAATAGAGACGGATAACCAAATGGCAGCATCAATCTTCTCCAGCTCCTTTCGGTCGGTATTCACTCATGAAACAAATTCCCCCCCTATCCCTTACCCAAAGTAATAACAAAATCCTCCGTCGTTTGCATCAGAAGACAGTTGTCACTTCTCACCGAAGTACGCCGATTGAAGCCTGCAAAATAACTTTGTCCAGATAGAATTCATCCACTTGCCCTTTGAGAACTGACTGACACACTGTGTGAGCCGATGTCCATGATATTTCAAAAGTCCATGGAAGAAGGTAAACTGCCGGAGGAGTGTAAATCTGCATTTATTTCTCCAATCTGCAAAGGAGGGTGCAGACTAGAGCCCGAAAATTACCGTCCTATTAGCTTAACCTGCATTTTGTGCAAGGCCACGGAGCGATTTATTGAGGGACATTTAATGACGTATCTAGAGCGGAGGAAAATAATAGGTACTGTTTAGCACAGATTTCATCGCGGTCACTCATGTCTTACGAGCAGTCTTTACTCGCAAGGCAAATGGACAAAAACCACAGACTACGGCCGTCTATTGGATGTCATCTTCTCCGACTTCAGAAAGGCGTTTGATAGAGTTCCTCATGGACGACTCCTACAGAAGATTTGGGAGTGTGGAGTACAGGGCAACATTTTTGATCAGATTGAATGTTTCCTGTCATGAAGGCTCCAAAGAGTAATTGTCGGTACCACTGCATCCGCAAGGGTGCCAGTAGAAATCGGCGTTCCGCAGGCTTTGGTCTTGGGTCCTCCTCTTCCTCATCTACATAAACGGCTGTAATGCAGATGTTGGATGCGATTCCATCATGTTTGTAGATGACAAAAAGATTGGGAAAACAAGCAGCTCTGTTGAAAACGCACAGAAATTACAAGAAGAGGTTTTTAAATTGGCTGCATGTTCCAGAAAGTGACTTTTAGCGTTTAATGTGTCCAAATATGTAGTCGTGCGCTGGGGATCTGGTCAGAGGGTTTCCCAAAACACTAGCATAACATACGTGAGGTTCCACTAAAAGAAATGGACACACACACAAAGACCTAGGTGTCTGGACAAGTTCAAACTCGTCCTCCAGGCACTGCAAAAGAGCCGTTCAAAAGGCAACCAGCATCATGCGCTGTATTAGGAGTGCTTTCATGGGCTTTCCTTCCAAACTGTTCGCGCAGATACTTCCTACGTTCATCAGACCGCATTTGGAATAGGGAATGCCAGCATGGATGCCCTAGATGAAGAAAGACGGTGATGCCATCGAACAAGTGCAACGACGGACGACAAAACTGGTGGACGGTCTTAGGACTCTGTCATAGCCGGAAAGACTGATCCAGCTTTATTAGTTTCCATTTTCCCCTTTATTTGTTCCCCTTTTTCCCCTGTTGTGGAGATTCCGCATTATCCACGGACATGAATGTTCGCTCAGATCTGAAGATTTCTTTGAGTTCACAAACGTGAGTCACCTGCGCGGTCATCGGTACAAGGTTAAACGGTTGCGTACCCTGATGACCTTCAAGTGGTCTTGAGTTGAGGTTTGAGAACGAGTCCATAACGTGATCACCTCAGGTTTCGCATTTGGAGATATTTGCGTGGTCGCAGTAAACAGTGAAACTCCAGCTTGCTGATTGCTTCTGCTACCTTATGGCGATCATCCTGCCAAACGGACACGACAAAAGTTCAACCAGTTCAACCGGTTTAACCAGACGTTCACGGTCTTCGTCCGGTTGTGATGGAATTTCTGGAATTGGCTGGAGATCTGCCAGAAGACCAAATTGGGCGTCCGTCATGGGGTTCCCCCCGCACGGTTATGGAAGTTCGCCACTGTGCCATTAAAATATCTCCGCAAGGGAGTATTTGAGAAGTTTTGCCTACTCTCCAATCCCGTCCCAAAGGATGACTCAGGTCGGCCGGGGACAGCCCATCAACGACACCCTCTTAACTCACCGATTGGGATAGCTTGCCGTTCTGAAATCTAAATTGTCTGGGATGTAATCTAGTCCGGCGCCTGCCGTGACCAACTGAAGACGCGTGTGCAGGTGGGGAACACTGACCTCCTGCGTTACTCTAGTCCTCCAATCTGTGGGACTGGGCGATCAAACGATCGACTACTTTCAAGGAAAGGCGACTATCCCTGTCGCTGAGGACGTCTAGGATTGAGCCGTCTAAAGATACTTGTCGTCAGAAGTGTAGGTTGTTAAAAAACAGGATTTATGCGTCAGGGAGTTAGGTAGATGACCTCCCCACTAACTTTTACTAGTAAACCCGCTCAAGACAGTGCGGGCGAATTATTTTTAGGTGACGATGACTTACAGTGCTATAGGACATACAGTCGTCGCAAATTAGTAGGCCCTGTTTTGAATTATTGCGACAAATGTCCCAGGCTTTCTTTTTCATGTAGACTTAAAGACATAGGAGGAAAAAAACCACTTGATCGAGCGGCGATCTACTACAGAGTGTTTGGTTAGTGTTGGTCGGTTTTGAGTCAAACTTCTCGTTATAACTGGTATTCCTACGGAGCCAGACTGTTATCTCGGCTATCTGTTTGTTAACCATCCCTGTCGCTGTCTGTTTTATTAGTAACTACGTTCACAGTTCATGAACGCACACCTCTCTTCACGTCCACGTAATCTCCACCTGGCCCTTTTCATTGGCATTATAGTAATGAGTAATTGTTTGAGATCCCATCAACTACATACAAACTTGTTGTCCTTCAAATTTTAGGCCAATAAAGTGATTCGCAAGCTGAAAAAGCGAGCTATCGCCACTCTCAATGGTTCCTCCTCTCCCAACCTCAGTTTCTACAAGAAGGACGATGAAGCTGATGTACCATCGTCTGAACTGAAGAAGAAAAAGAAGAAGAAGAAACACCTCACGGAACAGGCGTCATTAGAGGCACCCGCACCCGAACCCGAGGATGAGTCCGGAAATGCAGTGGATAGCAAGGAGGAGAAGAAGAAGAAAAAGAAGCAGAAGCGAAAGCACAGTCTGTCCGAGTCCGCGGCTGCTGAAGATGCCCCTACATCGGCCAAAAAATTGAAGTTTGAGAGCTCGGCCGCCGCTGAAGACGATAGTGCGCTGACGACACCAAAGAAAAAGAAGAAGAAGAGGTCGGCGGCGGCGGCAATTGCGTCGGCGCCTGTTGAACTTGACGAGGACTAGGTCCTCGGCGTGGGAAAACCAACACAGCTAACTTCGGGTTCTCTCCCCACCTCCCCCTCTGGTGTACACATGCGCTCCTCTTTCTATCTGTATCAGTCTGCATTTTGTAAACAATGCTACGCAGCATCGTCCGGCTCTGTGCCTCTTTTATACCCTCTGTCACGTTTAGGGCTATTCACCTGAAACCTATCCACGCCAAATCGGCCTATTAACAATCGATCCTGGCCTTGGGCAGTTTCGTGACTAACCAGGGCTGCTAGTAAATGTCCACAGTGGTCGCTCACGCTGTTATATCTTGCCAGTAGGAGTAATGTTGTTAGGTGTGGCCACGTCGAGTAACCTGACAAAGATTTGCCACTGATATATCTTCAAGCCTCATTGCTTGGTCTGTCAGTGAGTAGGTGCAGGGGGCGTGAGATAAAACTCGTACAGTTTAAAAAAACGATGATTCGGTTAGTATTTGGCTTGATCCTAGGTCTTCGTAGCTCCGTCGTGTCACCGGGCCTATGTGGGTGCCGAAAGGGCGGTAGATGCTGCGCAAGTCTGCTGTCAGGGGCGGACCGCCGTACCTGCACCCACCCTGCTGTGGGGCACGCGGTGGACAGGATCGGGATCGACGGCCAAACTGTCATCTTACTTGGTCACGACGATATCATCCACACCTCATTTCTCGTTCAACCGAAATTCCGGAATACGTCTTCGTTTCGAGAAGATTATTTAAGTAGGGTTGTAAAACTAGTCAACCTGCAACATAATTATACAATATTTCAATTACCTCAGGACGCCGGCTTTTGAATGAACTTCCTTCGGGCTGCATGCAAAAACTACACTGTGTAAATAATGACTACTTAGGTAGCATGAATTCTTCTCATTGATTTTCGATGCCCCCAAAAGTCGAATCATATTTTTAATGGAAAACATGCATAAACATATTCGTTGTTTTGCTCATTCGGTAGATAATTACGTCTTCTAATTCTATACTCGAAGGAGGGACATAATTCGGTTTTCAAAAACGTTTCCAATTCCCGAATAATTTTGAATCCGCTCTACCACCACACTTGGATTCGGGGTTTTCAAACTACAAGTCGTATATTTTCCGCCTACGGAAAACCACACATTTCTCTACGTTAATAAAGGGGGATCATATAGGGTTCATAAAATTTAGCAGTGGATTCGATCCTTGTTGTTAACTTTACAAGCCACATTGGTAAATGCGGAGACATGACGGTTTATCCACGGCCATTTAAAACCGAATTATGTCCCTCCTTCGAGTATAAAATTAGAAGAAGACGTAATTTTCTACTGGACGAGCGAAAGAATGAATATTTTTTTATGCATGCTTTTCATCAAATATAATTGGACTTTTAGGGTCATCGAAAATCAATGAGAAAAATTCATGCTACCTAAGTAGTCATTTTTCACAGAGTGTAGTTTTTGAATGCAGTCGGAAGAAAGTTCATTCGAAAGCCGGCATTCTGTGATAAGTGAGGTATTATGCAATAATGTTGCAGGCTGACTAGTTTTACAACCCTATTTAATTAATCTTTTCGAAACGAAAACTTATTTCGGAATTTCGGTTGACTTTTCATGAGTTAGCCCACCTACTGTCCAGTGGGTGACCGATCTCGTGAAATATCCTCTGGAATTCTGAAATGCGTTTTCGATTAGGAAGGCTTACTTAGGCTCGGTTGTAATACTGAATATTTTGTGGCATGGTCCTATAATATTTCGGACTCGGCAGGATGTCAGCTTCTGAATACACTGCTTTTCAAACTTCTGTAGCATACATTTTCAATGATTTTCGACGGTCTTTCAAATTCAAATATTTTAATGATCCCCGACAAAAAATGCCCTTTTTCAATCGTTTGATTGAGAATCACGCCAACTTTTTATTTTATACTAGAAGGAGTGTAATTAGGCTTTAAAAACTTCTCACTGCCGAATAAGTTGAGGTCTGATTGGTCGTTGCATTAGCTCTTAGTATTTTCAGTGTACATGGCGCATGCGCTCCGCGTAAAGAAAATCGCATATTCGATGACTTTGAAAATATATCATATGGATCCCATAAAACTTTGTAGTGAATCCGGACTATGCTGGACATTTCATGAAGAGCAGTGGTAAACGACAAGCACGAAACCTCTTGAAAGCCTAATTATACTCCATCTTCCAGTATAAAATAAAAGGTTGACCTGTTTCTCCAAATGTATAGTCGTGCGCCTGGGATCTGACATGAGGAACTTCCCAAAACACCAGCACACCGTAAGTGGTGTTCCACTAAGAGAAGTAGACGCTTACAAAAACTTAGGTGTCTGGACAAGTTCAAGCTCGTCCTTTGAGTATTGAGAAAGGGCCGTCCAAAAGACAAACACCATCATGCACTGGATTAGGCGTGCCTTTGTAGGATTTTCTTCCGAACTCCTCGTGCAGGTATTTCCTAAGTTCGTCAGACCGCATTTGGAATGCCAGCATGGATGCCCTAGATGAAAAAGGACGGTGATGCCATCGAACAGGTGCAACGACGGACGACAAAACTGGTGGAAGGTCTTAGGACTCTGTCATAGCCGGAAAGACTGATCCAGCTTTATTAGTTTCCATTTTCCCCTTTTTGTTCCCCTTTTCCCCTATTGTGGACATTCCGCATTATCCACGGACATTAATGTTCGCTCAAATCTGAAGATTTCTTTGAGTTCACAAACGTGGGTCACCTGCGCGGTCATCGGTACAAGGTCAAACGGTTGCGTACACGGCTACACCATCGGAATGTTTCATCTAGTCAGCGTGTAGTTCGACCATGGAACTCACTCCCAAGTGAAATAGGGACATCTGACACAATGGTTGCATTCCAAAGGCAGTTGAATCGTTTGATTTTCGGGCGAGCATATGCTTTGTACCCGGGGTCAGAAACAGATAAGTTGAGCAGCCTGCCTAACGGGAATGGTGGTAAGTGGATTATACGGGTGGGGCCATCTACGACCAGCTATTAATTTTATTTCCTGATTTCACTTCCTATGTAACGTATCCCTGCACGTCTGATGCTATTTCTCCCGCAAACTACAAAAATAATTAGATATTGTGCTGATTGAATATAATTGCATTTATAATCCCAACCGTACATGAAAAGGACCACTTGCCGCTTGGCCCATAGCTTTCAAAACAAACTGCTGCTGTTCGGGATGCAGTTCCACACTACGAGAGCGGTTTCTGTAAAAATGTTACTGACAGCATTTTAGTAGCATGCTCATCCAGAATTATAATTGTATTTATGCATATACTACTCTGCATATTGCAGATTGCTAGGTACTTGGTTTGGGCGCCAGTAGATTTAGCAAAACCGCATTCAGGGAAACTCTTACAACACTTGGACATTTGTGTGTCCACGACTGCCTTATTTTAGCTCGTAGACTTACGCCTAGAAGCAAACGTTTCATCCAAGCAACAGTGCTATGGCGTCATCTATCTCTGTCTTTCTTTTAGATGTGACAATGCAGAGATAAGGATCTAGAACCTTTCCGTTGATTAGTCTTAACTTGTGATTGAGATGTGTAAGCGACATACTTGTTGACGTCAAAAAGGTAAACTTAAAAACGTTTCACAGCGCTATCAATTCAACACTTCTGGAAATCAAATGCACCTTCGAAAGGGAAGTGGACAAAAATGCACGCATTCAGACGTTTTCACACACCGAAAGACTGGCGGAACACTACACACATCCGTTTACCACCAATAATCCTGTAGAGAAGTCATTCTAAACTATGAGAACCATCACCCTACCATAAGAAGTGCTCTCAGCAGTCTGTTAATCTGAGGGAAATCCATGTATTCTAATGAAGAAGGCTATCGAGTCGAACCGTATTGGTTGTTTAAATCGTTTCTCGAAAAAGTTGTCCTTAAGGTTTTGTACACTAGTCATGAAGATAAGAAGAAAGTCGTCTGCAAAATCGCGTGCGCTGCCGGCGATACGATATACTTTGGTAAAACTGAAAAATCTACCTCAAAACGCGGTCTTGGACATCATTTGACAGAAAAAACGCGAAACTATCTATCTCAAGTGACCATCTCTGATAGCAGGGAAGGCCGATTCCGAATTAGAGCCTCGTCATTCAGTCGTTGCTGCAAATCGATTGGTCCCCAGTGCCTCTGGCTAACTGCGTCGCTAACTGCGCAAAATGATGGCGCGCAAGATTATTCGCTGGCTTTCGCTCGAGCGTTGAGGCGCGCCATTTCCTGCTACGCACACGCAGTTGCCGCTTTGCCGTTGTCCTCTGCTTGACCTGTTCCATAACTTCTTTGTGTTCTTTTCTTAATCAGAATGTGGAAACGTACACCGAAAAGGACACTTAACAGAGTCGTCACGCCTGCAGTCAATGAACAGTTTCAGAAAATTGCCGAAAATATAAAGGAAATGCATCCGCCCGACTCGGCGTCACTGCCATCGGGTATTGCCTCGTCCGGCAGTGGACGCCGAAAAAGGGTTTCAATGAAGATCTACATGCGCTGGGTGTTGCAGACCCTAGCGCAAAACACGAAGACTATGCAGGAAATGAAGACAATGCTAGAGACCTTGTGTGAAAGACGAAATACATGTGCCTGCAGCTGCCGTTGCAGTCCTAAGCCCACTCTGGCGCCTTCCGGGCCCATGTTTAAACGTATGGCCACCCTTCAGGAACTGGATGTGTTCACCTGCGCTTTGTCAGACTCCGCCTTCCGCCAGCAGTTGGCAAGTTTCTCCTCACATAACTAATCAGTCGTTAGATTTCATACCTGGCATCCTTCGGCGGGGAGACAGTTAGTGTCTTCGCTGACCGAATCTTCAGCGCACTGTTTGCCGATGCGATTACAAATCAGTTAACCTTTTACGGCCGGCCTCAGGGGAAACGCGCCTTCTTTGGCTCGACGGCCTACGCCTTAGTTATCGGTATGACATGCATCATTTTGTTCATATGTTCTATGACAACACAGACGTCTTCACGATGTGGAATGTCGATCGGGGGTCTGATCGGCAACAACTGGAGAAGGCCTTTCGCATTGCATTTAGGAAGGCGTACGACAGATTACAGAAACGTGGCCACAAGGCCTCCACATCACGCCATGTGGACGGTTAGTGATCTCTTCGTAACGTGAACTAGGGCAATTTGTACTTCTGCAGCACACGTTAGCTGGTATAAACCCCTTAGCTTACCACAACAATGATTATCATTTTATCTCATTTTAGACGATACGGACGGGCCTATGAACTGTCCACCACCATCGTCATCCCAGCCGTAAAACGGCGTTTATGTACATATTTACACTTTCTGTCTACCTGTTATAAACCATTATTTTATCAAAATTTTTGTCTCTTTGTAATATCTTTTCTGCAAATTTTACCATATGACCATTTTTGTAAATAAAAATAAATAAATAAATAACTAAAATAAAAATAAAAAAATAAATTTTCCATGACTTACATTTCCACTGTTAGAGAAGAAACAGAATAGGAGTATGGAGAGGCAACAGGGGGTCAGGGGCAGCATAAGGGTTAATTGCGAATAAGAGGTGAGTTCTGCTCAGTTGAAAAACGAAATAAGAATTTTGCTGCGCCGATTGTGCATCGAGCCTCTGCGCAGATTCTAGTTAGAAATACTGTAAAGACCTCTGCGTAGATTCTGCGTAGATTATTCCAAACGTCTGATTAGATTCTGCGTAGATTTTATCAGATTTATTATGAGGGATGCATGCGGCCGATGTTCACACACCCATGCATGGAAAAAAACTCCCATTGCAGGTGTCTGTCGTCTTAAGAAATGCCGAGAATTCATTGAATCCGTGCACCTAGGTAAATCACGCATCAATCAGCATAATGAGCTGGGAACCGCATGCAAAATACTCATGGAGAAATGAAGGAGAGGGCAACCAATCAAAATAGAGTAATTGAACAGGCTGGTCGTTTGTTGGCGAGGTTGCCAAACTAGCATTGATTGGCAGCAACTATAAAAAGTTAACTGTTTATACATTTCTACTTTAATCCGAAAACTACTGGGAAATCGGCGTCGCAAAGTTAAAAAATATAGACTGTCACTTTTTCCAAGAGCGTATTTAACTTCGCGCCGAGGTGTGGAATACATGGGGATCCATCCCGCGACCTGTCCAACTCCCTAATCACTGAGCTACGGGCTGGTCGTCCGGTCGGTAACGATTGGGTGCGCACAGTGTTAGATGGGCGCTCACCGATCGTTTCAACGGACCTCGCTCTTCCCGTTGTGCCTTACGGGCTCTCTCTCTCGAGCCCAACCAGCAGCCACACAGCAGCGCGTAATAAAGGCAGAATAATATTATCGAAAAAGACAGGGGAGACCGGAATGGCCGTTTCTGGCATGGTAACCGTCGTCAGCCAACCATACCCAATTGCGAGGTGTAGAAAACCTGGGGCTCGCTCCCGTGACCTGTTGCTTAGAAGTCCAACGTCACTAACCAATGTTTAACCAACGTCGCTAACTATGAAAAAGGTAGTAGGTCTTTCGGAAAATTCGAGTTGTACTCGTCGTCAGACGAAATGAACACGAGAGAGAAAGTTAGACTTGTGCACCAGACCAGTTGGCGCGACAGATAGACCGTTGGCGTGTGCGGGGAGTGGTCACGAAATCATGCTAGGTTTCTGATCTAAAGGGGTGGGAGGAAGGCGGCACAATTACGTCTCCTCGTGCCGGAAGGTGAGGGTAGATGGTGGATCGGTTGGAATACGTGCGGCTGTACTAATAGTCGTTGATGCGGGGTTAGGGCAGGGGTCAATAAGTCGTGAACGTCGGCCATCGTAATGAGCGTTCAGGTCGACATGGCGGTTGATGCTATCCGCAGTGAAGTACTAAGGCTCGAGAAATTCTCTCGTTCGTTTTGCGCTGCTAGAGGCGACGGCCTCAGTGCCATCCATTGAAATCGGTGGTCGCACTGGAGTGTGTACGCAAAGACGAGTGATTGAGGGTTTTGCCAACGGAAGGCTAGTTTGTGTTCTTTAATAGGGGCGTCCAGGCGTCGACCCGCATGATCAACATAAACGCAGACGCAATTCGCGCATGGGATGCGACAAATTGCGCTCGTTTGTTGCTCTTGGGCGTAGGATCCTTGATTCGAGATAGCGCTGCGGGGAGTGGGGATGCTAGTTTGTGGGCAACATGAATACCAAAGCGATTTTACTACCGGAAAATTATTTCGGAGGTTCCTATCTTATATATATATATCTCTATAATGGTAGGGGACTCTCACCGATCTTTCTTACGGAACTCACTCGTTCCGTTGTGCCTTATGGACTCTCTCTCGAGCCCAACCAGCAGCTGTGCAACGGCGCATGATATAGGCAGAATGATATTACCTAATGACATTCCCGATCGAAAACCGACAGGGCAACGGGCTCATGGCTCAGTGGTTAGAGGCGTGGACTTCTAACAAAGAGGTCGCGAATTCGAGCCTCGGGTGTGCCACACATCGGGGTTGGGTATGACTGGCTGACGACAGCTAATAAACCAGAAATAACCATTTCAGTCTCCCTTGCCGCAGTCCCCCATTAGCCGCACAGCGGCGCATGATATATAGGCAGAATGATATTACCGACAAAGACAAGGGGGACTGGAATGACCATTTCTGGCTTATAAACCGTCGTCAGCCAGCCATACCCAAGCCCGAAGTGTGAAACACCCGAGCCTCGAACTCGCGACCTGTTGGTTTAGAAGTCCACGCCTCTACCCACTGGGCCACCAGCCCGTTGCCCTGTCGGTTTTCGATCGGCAGCCGTGCGGCTGCTGGTTGGGCTCGAGAGAGAGAGCCCTTAAGGCACAGCGGAACGAGTGAGTTCCGTATGAACGATCGGTGAGTGCCCCTACTATCATATATATGTATATATGGATATGGGCGAAAATTCTGACCCCAGGTGTGAATATGGAAGAGCAAGATGAGGCGATCTCTGGGAAAGAAAGTTTATACGTCTGACGTTTCGTAATCACACTCGAGCACCTCATCGGAAACAGGCCAAATGAGAAATACATGGTTTAAATAGACCATTCGCGCTCGCGCCTGATAGGTCGATCCCGCTCTCCTCTTATTGGCCCTCCTCTCGCTCGCAAGTGGTGCCTGATGGCCTCGTATGGCGCTGGTAGGTCAATACTGCGGTTGATCGACTTGACGTCTGATTGCCATGCTTCGATTACTTCTCTCGCCAGCTTGCTTTCGGCTCGGCCGAGCACTTGGGCGCCGTCAAAGTCGAACACGTGATCATTTTCTAGACAGTGCATGGCGACGTGCGAACGTACATCCTTTCGCTTTACGGCTAGGGCGTGCTTATGCACGCGCGTGCGCAGTCGTTTATCCGTCATGCCACAGTAGTTGGCCAGCCAGTCTAGACATTTGACGCGGTAAATGACGCCTGACGTGTCTGCAGGTGGTAGCCGGTCCTTGGGCTGCATGAGTGAGCGGCGGATGCTGACCTCCGGTCGGTGTCCAACGCCCACGCTTAGTGGCCTTAGCATGCGCTCAGTGGCTTCGGAAACGTTTCTCATGTAAGGCAGAACGCGGAAGATTTCAGGTCTTTGCGTGTTCTCACGGTCGGCCCTCGCATGTCTTTAGTATAACCATTTGTTTACAAAACTGCGCGGATATCAATTGGCAAGGAAGAGATGCCATAGGGTTTCACGCTCCCGCAGCTTCTCGGCTTCTGTGCTGCAGTGTGTTTCGATGCGGCGAAAAAGCCTCCGGACGCAGCTGCGTTTATGCGACAGGGGATAGTTACTGTTGTATTGGTGAATTTTCGGCGTGTTTGTCGCTTTTTGAAAGACAGCAGTCTGGAGGGTTCCGTCTTCTCGCCTCGTTACCTGAACGTCGAGGAAAGGAAGCACTCCGTCTTTTTCTTCCTCCATTGTAAACTGAATTTTTGGGAAGACCGAGTTCAATTCCCTTTTAAAGTCGTCTTTCGCGTCTCGGCGTAAGATGACAAAGGTGTCGTCCACGTAGCGCATCCAGAACTTCGGCTTGTAGGACTGAAAAACTCACGCTTCCAGTTCCTGCATGACCGCCTCAGCCAGGTAGCCAGAAATCGGGGATCCCATTGGGGTTCCCTGGATTTGCTCGTAAATTTGACCATTAAAAGTGAAGTACGTGCGTAGGCAGTAGTCCAATAGTTCCATCAGGTGCTTCCTCTTAAACGGGTTCCCCTCTTCGTCGTACTTTCTCTCCAATAGGTCATTGAGGACGTTCATGGCCAATTCTTTTGGGATGGACGTGAATAGAGAGACGACGTCAAAGGATATCACTACCTCGTCGGGGGATTATTATAACTCCTTCGAGTTTTTCCAGGGAGTGTGTTGAAGGCAAAATCAACAAGAGCCTGAACCAAATGACGGACCAGTCCTGATATCTCATGCATCGACGTACAAAATCTCCAGGGTAGCCGTTTCGGGAAAACAGGTCAAACAAATGACTAATTTCTGTTCGATAACCTTCCTTCCCTGAACAGCGTGGTTTTGGTTGATTAAGTAGGTTTTTAACAGCAGCCCGTTTGTAAGTGATAGTGTGGTTCTTCTCGTAATGTAGGATAATTTCCGCAAAAGCTTCTTTGCGGTATACGGATGTGTGAAATGTCCCGTCAGTGTTTCGCTGTAGGAGAATATCAAGAAATGGGAGTTTGTTGTCAACTTCTTTTTCGAGCATGGAGGTGATTCCTGGCACTGTTGAGTTGATAAAGCTGTACAGTATTTCCATTTGAACCCTTTTGACGATAAATATATGGAACTGGTTTGTTCCGACCAGGCATCTAAACCAAAAAACTAAAGAGCACCCCCTTTTGTCAGCGTGCTTTCTTCATCCTTCCTGTGTTCAGTTGTACTCAAGTGCCGTTAACAGCCATAGGGAGGAGATTTCTGCAAGAAAGCTATTTCAAAACTGTATTTCTGAGATTAAGCCAGTAAGTCTGTCTCACTAGCATAGCCCATAGAGATACCCTAGTCACCACGATCACCAGGCCCAGTTCCGAATGAAAAGAGAAGGAGTCGGATGCCAGTTGCGAGAACAGTGTGTTCTGTGCAGAATAAGTGGAGAAAGGATTGGAGAAAGTTGGGAGCCGGACGAGGGTACGTCCGGCGCCGGGAGAGCGGCTCCTCCTAATAACAGTGGGGAATGAGTCACAGGGCCTTGTGCGAGAGCACGCCTGATTTGACCTTGAAGACAATTGGTCGGTTTGGGCAGCTGTGGTAGTGGCTTGGAAGGCTGCCAATTGACCGGATAAC